TGATTGATGTTCATAGTTCTCTTTCTTTCCTTTTTGTTACCCAGGATTAACACTAAAATGGCGCTGGCTGGCAGTGTTGTGTTCTTTCCCATCCTGCATAATGCTATTTTTCATGTCCTTTATGCCCGAAACGCCGAGATTTCTGCTGAATCAGAACAAGCGTTCGGAAGCCATAGCTGCTTTGCACTTCCTGCGGGGACCACACGCCGACCATGACTGGGAATGCACGCAGATTGAGGCTAATGTTCAGGAAGAGGTGATGAGAAGCTGATTACTCTTAAAAAACTTTTTGTGTGGAAATGACATCTGAAAGCATATAGTGTAGTTAAAAGGGTTTTAACAAAGCTTAGTTAATAGCCTTTCCTACAAATGGTGGTCCAAACCTGTTCCCTCATACAAATGATAGTCAGAAAACAAGTGAGATTCTTTGAATCTTTTTCCTTCTACCTTTCAGCTTCGACTGCTGTCACTGTTGGCTGCCATCAGTGTACAGGGGTAGCAGTTGGGCTTGTGATCTTGTTAATTATGTGACAACTATGTAGTGTTTTGCTTTATTTAGCATTTTTGGGGGGATTGTTCAGCACCTCTAACACTGATTTCCCATTGTTTGTGTTGCATTTTTCTTTTGTGTCTCTAAAAGCATCATTTAGCCTCTTAGAGATGTGTGCTTAAATAGGCAGGTCTTATTTAAAGCTTGGTTTCTGCAAACTGTGGATTCATTCATGTTAACTTTCTCTACAAAGTCCTGTCAATTTCTGTCTCTAGAGCCAGAGAAAAGGGGAAAATGCTTTTCTGGAGTTCTCAGATACTTCACATGTAAACATTTTTACTGCTAAGGCACTTAGTTTTGCTAAAGGATGGGGTGGCAAACTTACTGAGTTTGAACAGATTGAAATGTTCTTAGGAGGGTTTTTTTTTGTTCATGGTGGTTTTGTTCTTTGATTTAAAAGATGAAATTTTTCACCAAATCATTGCTCAATCTTTTTAACAGGGACTGAATCTCTCTGAATTTAAGCACCCCTCAATCTACAGGCCACTTCTTATTGGTGTGGCTCTAATGTTCTTCCAGCAAGTAACAGGCATTAATGCAGTTATGTTTTATGCAGAAACCATCTTTGAAGATGCAAACTTCAAGGTAATCAGGGTGTGTTTCCAAACTGACAAATTTCTATATTTATTAGTTTCAGCTTAGCCACTGCTATAATAAATCTAAAACACATGAGGAACTGACCCAATAATCATCCTGTCTGTATCATAAATAACAGGATTTGTGTTTTAGTGGGCTTTTTTTGGTTTGGGCTCTAGATACTCTCTTGACTGTGCTACTCCGGCATACCCGAATGTTCTGGTTTTTGGCGGGGAAGTATTTTGTGTTTTGCTGGTCTGGTACTCTGACAGAAATTCCTATTATAGGAATATTCCTATATAAATCTTTTTTATTAGAGTTGAAAATGCAGTGTTTCAGAGAAAGTGAAACTCTAGGAATAAGTGGTCTTATTTTAAACTTTATTAAGAGACTAGTATGTTGTGTAAATTGGTGGTGTCTTCCCCTCCTCCTCCCCCC